CGTATAAACCGCGTGAGCCTTGTCAGTTTCTGCCGCGACGCGTTGGCTCCCTAATCACCGTCATCACGCTCGGTTAGCGTGGAATAATATCAGTATAGTCGATCGCATTCCTACGCGCGAATTCAATTCGCTCGTCGCTGCATTCCGCGAATAAACCGCGTGAGCCTTGGCAGTTTCTGCCGCGACGCGTTGGCTCCCTAATCACCGTCATCACGCTCGGTTAGCGTGGAATAATATCAGTATAGTCGATCGCATTCCTACCCGCGAATTCAATTCGTTCGTCGCTGCATTCCGCGAATAAACCGCGTGAGCCTTGGCAGTTTCTGCCGCGACGCGTTGGCTCCCTAATCACCGTCATCACGCTCGGTTAGCGTGGAATAATATCAGTACAGTCGATCGCATTCCTACCCGCGAATTCAATTCGTTCGTCGCTGAATTTCGCGTATAAACCGCGTGAGCCTTGTCAGTTTCTGCCGCGACGCGTTGGCTCCCTAATCACCGTCATCACGCTCGGTTAGCGTGGAATAATATCAGTATAGTCGATCGCATTCCTACCCGCGAATTCAATTCGCTCGTCGCTGAATTTCGTGTGTAAACCGCGTGAGCCTTGTCAGTTTCTGCCGCGACGCGTTGGCTCCCTAATCACCGTCATCACGCTCGGTTAGCGTGGAATAATATCAGTATAGTCGATCGCATTCCTACCCGCGAATTCAATTCGTTCGTCGCTGCATTCCGCGAATAAACCGCGTGAGCCTTGGCAGTTTCTGCCGCGACGCGTTGGCTCCCTAATCACCGTCATCACGCTCGGTTAGCGTGGAATAATATCAGTACAGTCGATCGCATTCCTACCCGCGAATTCAATTCGTTCGTCGCTGAATTTCGCGTATAAACCGCGTGAGCCTTGTCAGTTTCTGCCGCGACGCGTTGGCTCCCTAATCACCGTCATCACGCTCGGTTAGCGTGGAATAATATCAGTATAGTCGATCGCATTCCTACGCGCGAATTCAATTCGCTCGTCGCTGCATTCCGCGAATAAACCGCGTGAGCCTTGGCAGTTTCTGCCGCGACGCGTTGGCTCCCTAATCACCGTCATCACGCTCGGTTAGCGTGGAATAATATCAGTATAGTCGATCGCATTCCTACCCGCGAATTCAATTCGTTCGTCGCTGCATTCCGCGAATAAACCGCGTGAGCCTTGGCAGTTTCTGCCGCGACGCGTTGGCTCCCTAATCACCGTCATCACGCTCGGTTAGCGTGGAATAATATCAGTACAGTCGATCGCATTCCTACCCGCGAATTCAATTCGTTCGTCGCTGAATTTCGCGTATAAACCGCGTGAGCCTTGTCAGTTTCTGCCGCGACGCGTTGGCTCCCTAATCACCGTCATCACGCTCGGTTAGCGTGGAATAATATCAGTATAGTCGATCGCATTCCTACCCGCGAATTCAATTCGCTCGTCGCTGAATTTCGTGTGTAAACCGCGTGAGCCTTGTCAGTTTCTGCCGCGACGCGTTGGCTCCCTAATCACCGTCATCACGCTCGGTTAGCGTGGAATAATATCAGTATAGTCGATCGCATTCCTACCCGCGAATTCAATTCGTTCGTCGCTGAATTTCGCGTGTAAACCGCGTGAGCCTTGTCAGTTTCTGCCGCGACGCGTTGGCTCCCTAATCACCGTCATCACGCTCGGTTAGCGTGGAATAATATCAGTATAGTCGATCGCATTCCTACCCGCGAATTCAATTCGTTCGCCGCTGCATTCCGCGAATAAACCGCGTGAGCCTTGGCAGTTTCTGCCGCGACGCGTTGGCTCCCTAATCACCGTCATCACGCTCGGTTAGCGTGGAATAATATCAGTATAGTCGATCGCATTCCTACCCGCGAATTCAATTCGTTCGTCGCTGCATTCCGCGAATAAACCGCGTGAGCCTTGGCAGTTTCTGCCGCGACGCGTTGGCTCCCTAATCACCGTCATCACGCTCGGTTAGCGTGGAATAATATCAGTACAGTCGATCGCATTCCTACCCGCGAATTCAATTCCTTCGCACCGCTACTGCAAATTTTCGTAAAACAGCTCGAATGCTTTGATTAAAAATTAGAAATATGAACTTGAAATTTGTTAACGGTGGCACAGACGCTCCCTTTTAGTCGCCTTTTACGACAAGCAGGGATACTATGGGCGTATTCTACATCCCCCCGCCCACAGGGGGTGATTTGAGATGATAAAAAATACAACACAATTGATACAATACAAATGTCAGTGCAATATCAATAAAATATGATAAATTGACTTTTAATTGTTTTTAGATAGTCATTTTATTTTTATTGATGAACAAGTAATTATCAGGGTTGGGTTATCGTAGAAAATTATTCGTCTATGTAGGTAAATCTTGTTTTGTCATTGTTAAAATTTACTTGAATGCAATAATTTAAAAATGTAAGTAAAATGAAAACTAATAAAAAATTATAAAAAGGATAACGATGAAAATTAATTTAAAAAAAAAAAAAAAAAGCGCGTGACTTTACTTGTTAATGTAGCAATCAATTTGATTTAAATGATTTAATTTAATTTGATGGAAAAACAACATATAGTAAACAACAGTTAAAAAAACAACAGTTCACAATGACGAAGTTATACTTGATGACGTCATTTGTAGAGAAAATGTAATACAATTTGCAATTTAACATGTTTGCTACTAGAATCACGTATATCTATCAAAATATTTTGTATCATATGTTTTAAAATATCTGCAATTCAGAGTCTATCACAAAATCCATAAAATAATATAATATAATAATATGCATAGTCTATAGTCTATATGCATAATATTTCTTTGTTTTATGTTATTTCATAATATAAGAAAAGAAATAGTCTATGATGAACGAATTTCTAATTAAGTGCTATTACTGAACATGTTAAATTGACAATAGATATCTAGTGAGCATAGTGACTGTAAAAAGTAGTAAAAAAGATATTAATATGTACTTAAATCAGAATTGAAGGATGACTTTCCATAAAAAGAAGGAAAGACATCCTTTGGTGATGTGCGATGATGTCCCACGATGTCCAACGATGATCTTCTTTCTTCGACTACTCAATGAATCAGCTCAAAGATTCCATAAAAATGTGAAATATATTGAAAATGAGTGTCACACACAACGACCAACTATTAAATAGAATAGCTGTCCGAAGCATGCAACAAAAAAAAAAGGAATTTTTGAACAGATTTCATTGAAGTAGTCCTTTTTCGTCCGGGCCTAGAGCCGCGGGCGACCTTACATACTAGGTATAGACCAAGATTTAATCAAAATCAATTAACTAAAAAGTAATTGATTCCGATTATACTACCCCAGGTGCAGACTTTTCACCGGACCTATAAGCCTACCCGAAAGAGAAATGTGAGCGGTCTGCTTTCCTGGCCCTTCCTACTTACATCTAAATCACACACTCCAGAAGTAAGCTACCTGCCTGCCTATCCCTATATTTAAAAAAGCAAAAATCATTCATTCCAACACACACAATCCACGGTACTCACACATAACACCTGGGTGCAAGCCTACCCTAGAGAGAACGTCCCGGGACGCCTCCGTCACCCAAGCTTGTAACACACACATTTATACTTTATGTACGTACCATTTCCTGTAATCGACTGACAACGTAGCGTATATTGCGTTATTATTAATATAATATTAATGTCATATAAAACTATTATTGGAATGTAAAATTATTTATGCTATAATGCTGACTTTGAGTCATTCTGTTCTTTACAAAACTAAGTACAGTAATAATTAGTATTTCATTGATTTAAAAAAAGAATATGGTATTCAAATGGTAAATTTTCTTCATATATTGTAAAATATTATTTTGATTTTTATACATGAAATATTCTCAAACAAGTATCCATTCAATGTAATATGATTGTATGATATTATACATACAGTATGTAATATGGAAAATATTGATTAGATATGTAATATATTTATTCTGTATGTATTTATATAAACTATTTAAGTTGAATAATAAAATCGACGTACATTCCACTAATTTAAATACACACACACACACATGTGAAACGTACATCGTGCACAATACGCTAATACGTTTGTCAATCGCTGTAATATTCCTTAATTCTAAAACCGTACCCACCGCCCTTACCCACACAACGCACACCTGGGTTCGTTGATGAGCTCAGGCTAATAAGTAATGAATACGGGCAAAGAAATAATACACCTACCGTGTGAAGCTGAAAATCCTAAGCTAAAATGATAAATTAGTACATAGTAAAGCTAACGGGCTAATAAACATTTTAAATTTGAAAATAAATTATCGTGTAAAACATTCTTACGTTGAAACTATGTTTTCTTTGAACTGATGAGATTGAAATTGATTAGAAGAATAAAACATTAAAAAATGATTCTATTTGTAATACAAGACTCCGATAAAATAAAAAATTGCAATTGAATTAAATAATTATTAAAATAATTTTATTAAAATAATTAAACTGTATTTAATCATAGCTAAAAAAAAAAATATGTAAAAAAAAATCACTCTACTTTAAGCAAAAACTTGAAGTATCTGTTAAATGGATCTATATCTGTTGGAAATGCAATTTAATAATTAATACATGTAATACATCCTCGGTTGATTGCATGTCGAAGTAAATTGTCCAAGTTACATCAAATGTACATTCGAAAATGTTACTTCGACGTTAGAATCTAACCGCCGCGAAATGTCTTCTTGCTCATAAAACATATTTAAATCAACAATATTTTAATATACTGCATTGAAATATTATAGTATAGTCAATCTATTGTAGCAAATGTACGTAATATTTACTGCATATAAAATATACAAATTTTGTATACATTATCAAAATTTAAGTATCTTTTAATTAAAAAAATATTTTAAAAGTTGTATTTTATTTGTGAAATCGGAGGGTCATCCGACTTCTATCCTACAAACTAGTTTTTAAAAAGAGACAAGAAGACCCTAGCCTGAACTAAGAAATACAACAATATAAAAATGAAAAAAGATATGAAAAATATGTAACATATTTCCATGAGTATCCATCCACTCATGGGTCACTATGCTCACTTAAAATAAGAATAAAATTTGTAACTCTTGGGACTCACCCAACCGGTGACTGACTATTGAAAAGTAGCTGGAAGAAAGCACCCGGCGGATGGTCTCCTAAGTAGATTGATGATGTAGACTAGTGTAGTAGGTAGGATGTTGACATACAGGCACTAGTTGATAATTCGGTAATTAGAAGAACAATAATATTACATTTGTGCCATTTTAAATTTACCGTAATAATTTACTACAACTATTTAATAATAAAACTTACCTTTAATTTGAGGAAGATTCATTTAATAGTTTTATATGAGGCTTTTGATGTTTTATTGTAATGTACTTCTGCAACAAAAAAGAACACACAACAATAATATTACATTTAAGCCAGTTTAAATGTACCGTAATAATTTACTGCAACTATTTAATAATAAAACTTACCTTTAATTTGAGGAAGATTCATTTAATAGTTTTATATCAGGCTTTTGATGTTTTATTGGAATGAACTTCTGCAACAAAAGAAAACAAATTTTTTCACATATATGTATACATCAGTGGTACATCGTGTATATTTAACCACTTAATATTTCAAAAAATGTCCATATTCACAAAACAAAAATTTTTGAATAAATATTTTTTAATTCTTTAACATTAATTAAATTTCCATGCCTATTATATTACTATACGTATTATTCATTGTATAAAAGTTAATTTTGAATTGAGATCATCAATAATCAACAAATACAAAAGCTTAAACACTGGTTAGAATAAGTGAGACATTTGAATTCCCCGCCAAAAAGTATTGAAGATTATCGACGCCATATTGAAATAAAATCAAGATTACTTTCCTCAATTTAAAACACCAAAATACAAAAAATAAAGTAGAAAATAACATAAGATATCAATAGTACTTAAGAAATTATCGATATAAAAGCAGAATAAATGAGGGAAATAATATTTTAATGCACATTTATATCGGCAGAATAGTCAACCACGGGAAGATCAATTATATCAATTTATAACAATTAATTATGGAAAAAATGTAACAAAAACATGAAAAAATGCAATAATATTCAAGAAATTACTGATATAAACGGAAAATAATTCAGATTCTGCTATTCCAATTCCATTTTGAATTCACAGCAAGAGCAACAAATTTCAACTGACGCATTTTTAAAGAACACCTCGAATTGATGTAAAAATTCAGGAATCAAGACTTCTCCCCAGCTATTCTTTCTATTTTTTGTACTTGCAACACCCGAAAGACAATTTAATTTAATGTTTGAAGATAATTTAATCTTACCTGTTACAGACACGTGCATAACGGACGAAGTGTCGAAGAGAAATGATGCACTGCGTCACAGATCGACGCACTCGCTCACACAAGGACGTGTCTGATTGGTCGAAATGAGAGGACGCCAACATGGCGCGACCAATCACAGCCATTGGTAGAAGTTTCGTATAACTTCGAAACTTTAATACTAAACGTAAGGGAAAGGTTCGTTAAAAACTATCGACGCCATATTGAAATAAAGTTAAGATTACTTTTTTCAACTTTAAACGCCAAAATATAGGAAATCAAGTAGAAAAAACATAAGATTCTAACGAAATTTAAGAAATTGTCGATGTAAAAGCAGAATAAATGAAGGAAATACTTTTTTATTTCGTATCTATACCGGCAGAATAGTCAGAAATGGAAAAATCAAGTATCACGATTTATAACAGTAAATTATGAGAAATATGTATTGAAAACATGAAAAAATGCAATAAAGTTTAAGAAATTATTGATATAAAGGGAAAATAATTCAGATTATGTTCTTCCAACTTCATTGTCAATTCACGGCAAGAGCAAAAATTTTAACCTTACGTATTTTTGAAGATAATGTCGAATTAATGTCAAAAAACAAACAGCTAGACTTCTTTTCGGCTATTCTTTCTCTTTTTTGTATTTTCAACACCCGAAAGACAATTTAATTTAATGTTTGAAGATAATTTAATCTTACCTGTTGCAGACACGTGCATAACGGACGAAGTTTAGAAGAGAAATGATGCACTGCGTCACAGATCGACGCACTCGCTCACACAAGGACGTGTCTGATTGGTCGAAATGAGAGGACGCCAACATGGCGCGACCAATCACAGCCATTGGTAGAAGTTTCGTATAACTTCGAAACTTTAATACTAAACGTAAGGGAAAGGTTCGTTAAAAACTATCGACGCCATATTGAAATAAAGTTAAGATTACTTTTTTCAACTTTAAACGCCAAAATATAGGAAATCAAGTAGAAAAAACATAAGATTCTAACGAAATTTAAGAAATTGTCGATGTAAAAGCAGAATAAATGAAGGAAATACTTTTTTATTTCGTATCTATACCGGCAGAATAGTCAGAAATGGAAAAATCAAGTATCACGATTTATAACAGTAAATTATGAGAAATATGTATTGAAAACATGAAAAAATGCAATAAAGTTTAAGAAATTATTGATATAAAGGGAAAATAATTCAGATTATGTTCTTCCAACTTCATTGTCAATTCACGGCAAGAGCAAAAATTTTAACCTTACGTATTTTTGAAGATAATGTCGAATTAATGTCAAAAAACAAACAGCTAGACTTCTTTTCGGCTATTCTTTCTCTTTTTTGTATTTTCAACACCCGAAAGACAATTTAATTTAATGTTTGAAGATAATTTAATCTTACCTGTTGCAGACACGTGCATAACGGACGAAGTTTAGAAGAGAAATGATGCACTGCGTCACAGATCGACACACTCGCTCACAGAAGGACGTGTCTGATTGGTCGAAATGAGAGGACGCCAACATGGCGCGACCAATCACAGCCATTGGTAGAAGTTTCGTATAACTTCGAAACTTTAATACTAAACGTAAGGGAAAGGTTCGTTAAAAACTATCGACGCCATATTGAAATAAAGTTAAGATTACTTTTTTCAACTTTAAACGCCAAAATATAGGAAATCAAGTAGAAAAAACATAAGATTCTAACGAAATTTAAGAAATTGTCGATGTAAAAGCAGAATAAATGAAGGAAATACTTTTTTATTTCGTATCTATATCGGCAGAATAGTCAGAAATGGAAAAATCAAGTATCACGATTTATAACAGTAAATTATGAGAAATATGTATTGAAAACATGAAAAAATGCAATAAAGTTTAAGAATTTATTGATATAAAGGGAAAATAATTCAGATTATGTTCTTCCAACTTCATTGTCAATTCACGGCAAGAGCAAAAATTTTCAACTCACGTATTATTAAAGAAAACCTCGCATTAAAGTCAAAAATCAGGAATCTAGACTTCTTCTCGGCTGTTCGTTCTGTTTTTTGTATTTTTAACGCCCGAAAGTGAAATTAGTTTAATATTTGCAGATAATTTAATCTCACCTGTTGTGGAAGCGTGCAAAACGAACGATGCTTCGAAGAGGAATGCTGTACTACGCTACAAGTTTGTGCTGTCAACCGCACAGCGATGAATCTGATTGGTCGAAATGAAAGCACGCCGAATGGAACGACCAATCACAGCCATTGGAAGAAGTTTCGAAGTGTTTCTCAACTTTAATGCTAATCGTAACGGAAACGTATATATAATGAATACCAGCGAAAAAATTAATAATGTACTTTTTTAGCAACACCCGTCTTGTATTATCTTTCTTATTATTGTAATTATGTAATAAATAAAGGGAAATATTACTTTAATAACACTTTCCTATGGCGTGATTTTGCTAAGAAATATTTAATAATATATTATTTCAGATATAAATTCCGACACTTATGTACAATGTATGCATAAGCGAAATATTAATATGTACAAAAATTATAATCAATCAAAAAGGCATAGAATTTTCACCAGCTAGTAAAAGTATTGTAGGAAATACTAATCAAAGATAAAAAAGAATTCAATATGCCCATAATAATTTATGGGGATTTTAGCTCGCAAATCGATAACCACAATCAAGTATAGAAGAATTAGTAACAGAAAGAACAAATTTAACACACAGCAGAAAAGCAGAAGATATTGCACTAAATTGTACAGGAATATGCTATGGCAAACAATGAAATAAATTGGCTTGATAATACTAGATAGATACAATCACATTTCAAGAAAAAGCAGGTATTTAAATAATATTAATGGAAATTTCATTTTTCAATAAAAATCAAATGGAAAATCAATAAAGTGAAGGACAATGCAGAAAATGAAGTTGACACAGTGAATGGAAGATTCATTTGAAATAATATAAAGTATAATCAATATCTAAACATATTAGCAACTTCAGTAACAGCGACTGAAGTACCAATAAAAACTTTCAATAACAATATAATTGCAAAAATGAAAATAGATGCAAACAGATCTATTGATTAGGGATAATAATGCATAAAAAAAGGAGATAAGGCACAGATTAAAAGAAATAAAACATGGTTTGATTAAAAATGATGCAAATCTTGTAGGAAGATATAGAACAAATTAAAATTAACAACATTCTGCGTACACAAATAGCAAATGGAAAAAGCTTCTCCTTACAATTAATCAACAAAATATAACATTGTCTTACCATGTTTCTCCCTGGCATCAAACTTATATTTAGTACTATTATATCAATACTATTGTATTAAATATAACATAAATTTAGAGGAGGATAGGAAAGCTTGATATACTCTTGTATTATCTGCTTAATGTACAATAGAAAACTGTTTGTTATTTTATAAAATACTCTCAATCGATATGAACAAATGAGTGATTAGTCTGATTTTGTGTGGCTGTGAAACATAGGATTACTGAAATTTTATTTATTTTGTCTAAAATGCTGCTTTCTTTTCTTAATTTATAAATCTCCCTGTCTCCTCTATTACTGTAATTTATATAAAATATCTGTGCCTTATCATAAATATTAGAAGGGTACAGCTAATTGTAAATAAACTGATATAAGTATGAACACTGTACTTACCCTTACATTTAAGTAAAGATTATGTTAAGCAAAATACATAAATATAATCACCATAAAATATAAATACAGAGAAATAATAATTAAGTGTAAAAAAACTAACAGAATAAGTATCTTTATTCTTCAATCAAACTATTATGTAAAAATCTGTTATATTGGAGCCATATTTTTTTTTATATTAATAAAATAGCATTCAATGAGGACAATAAAATATTCAAAAATGATTCTATTTTAAATGAGAAACTCTAATTTCAAACAGTGTAATAAAATAATTGATATTTTAAATGAGAGACTCTAATTTTGAAAAGTGTAATAAAATAATTGATATTTATTCATAAATACCGATACTATTAATCATAATAATAAAAAATGCTGATATACATATGTAGTTGTTACGTAAAAACTACTTGATTCTAATTATGTTATGTATTTCAAACTCTAATCAAAACATATTTAATTATAAAAAAAGGAAGTAGAGTATTTTATTTTTTTACTCACCAAACTAATAAGCAGATATTAAAGATTAGTTGGATAGAAACACTTTGCTGATGATCTCAGTTGGTTGATATTGAGAGATGATATATTAACATTGGTTCACCATTCTGTAATTATTAAAACAAAAACAACACTGCAATCACATTAGCAAGGATTCATTTAATAGTGTTGTATTTCTTTTGCAAATATAATTCTGTAAAATGGGAGAACATATTTTTGCAAACATGTGCTTCAGTGATACATCATGTGCACTCAACTAATATTTCAAAAAAACTACTCATACTTAAAAATATTTTTGAATAATTTTTCTTTAATATTAATCAAATTTCCATACCTATTATATTATTATTCGTGTTATTCATTGTATAAAAGTTAATTTTGAATTGAGATCATCAATAATCAAAAAATACGAAAGCTTAAACATTGGTTAGGATAAAGGAGATACTTGAATTTTCCGTTAAAAAGTATAGAAGATTATCGACGCCATATGAAGTAAAGTCAAGATTACTTTTTTCAGCTTAAAACATCAAAATGTAGGGCAGAAAGTAGAAAAAACATAAGATATTAACAGGATTTATGAAATCGTCGATATAAAAGCAGAATAAATGAAGGAAATATTTTTTTATTTCGTATCTATATCGGCAGAATAGACAAAAACAAGAAAATCAGATATCACGATTTATAACAATAAATTATGGAAAATATGTATTAAAAACATGAAAAAATGCAATAATGATCAAGAAATCTTATATATACAAAGCGCAAAGACGCTCGTCTGTGTCACTTTCCAAGACTTCTCCTCGGCTGTTTGTTCTGCTTTTTGTACTTTCAACACCCGAAAGACAAATTAATTTAATATTTGGAGATAATTTAATCTTACCTGTTGTAAAAGCGTGCAAAACGGACGAAGCTTCGAAGAGGAATGCTGCACCACGCTACAAGCTGCACACCCACTCACACAGCGACGAATCTGATTGGGCGAAATCAGAAAACGCCGAATGAAGCAACCAATCACAGCGTTAGTAGAAGTTTCGAATTGCTTCGAAACTTTAATAGTAATCGTAAGGGAAAGGTTCGTTAAAAATTATCGACGCCATATTGAAATAAAGTCAAGATTACTTTTTTCAACTTAAAACATCATAATGTAGGATAGAAAGTAGAAAAAATATGAGATATTAACGGGATTTAAGAAATTGTCGATGTAAAAGCAGAATAAATGAAGGAAATATTTCTTTATTTCGTATCTATATCGGCAGAATAGTCAAAAACAGAAAAATCAAGCATCACGATTTATAACAGTAAATTATGAGAAATATGTGTTGAAAACATGAAAAAATGCAATAATGTTAAAGTAATTATTGATATAAAGGGAAAATAATTCAGATTCTGTTCTTCCAACTTCATTGTCTATTCACGACAAGAGCAAAAAATTTTACCTCACGTATTTTTGAAGATAATGTCGAATTAATGTTAAAAAACAAACAGCTAGACTTCTTTTCGGCTATTCTTTCTCTTTTTTGTATTTTCAACACCCAAAAGACAAATTAATTTAATATTTGGAGAAAATTTAATCTCACCTGTTGTGAAAGCGTGCAAAACGGACGAAGCTTCGAAGAGGAATGCTGTACTATGCTACAAGACTGCACACCCACTCACACAGCGACGAATCTGATTGGCTGAAACGAGAGCACGCCGAATGGAACGACCAATCACAGCGTTGGTAGAAGTTTTGAATTGCTTCGAAACTTTACTAATTTAATAACTTATCAACATATATATGTGCGTGTGTTTGTTTTAGATTAGAAAAATTTCGGACACGGGTGATCGTGAACACGAAGAATGTTGTCTCTTGTACCGGCTTTGTCATTTCGTTTAGTGGAGTTGCATTCCTTATTGTCTGTACCGAAGAAGTGTTGTTGAATAAGAACGTTGGAATCACTTCTTAGCTTCTAGTTAGGGGGGATTTAAGCTGTAAAGCGCAATAGTTTAACAATCTAATTGTAAGTAGACAGGATAAGAGGATTATTAAGGAAGATGATGGTTTGCTCGTTTCTCCATCAGATGTCGACACAGGCGCTTAGTTACTCTAGCGACAAATTCGTTTCTATATACGTTTACACCGGTCATGATCGTAGCTGAAGGATAGAAACAAAACAATCAGTTTGTCGTACATAATTTCTTTAATAAGGTCAGGTCTGATGCGAAAGGAGGAAAATTTGAGTTCTGATTTGATTATCCATTTCAAGGAGTGATGAATCAATGACTGACACAAGTCGTTAACGTTTGTTTGCAGTAGAAGATTATGTTCGTTCTGAGAGTAAGAGACGTCAAGATACCAAGGGCCGAGTAAACTGCGTAGAAGTGAGAGGAGAAATTGTTTGATTTCCAGGCGAGCCACTCCAATCGTTTTGCAGTAATCACTGTATTTCGGCCATTCATTCAGAATTTCTTGGGTGGAAAGAGTTTTGCCGCATCCGTCAGTCCTGAGGCGAAGATGTCGTTCGAAGAGGAAAAACGTAAGGGATAGAAATACTTTCTTTATTTATTTCGATAGTTACATAAGCTTTATTCGTGTTGATCATTCGAAACGATGAGAATTTGAGATGCAAATTATCGTCCTTCCAAAATCCTGTACACGGTTATGTTCATTTGCGAACGTGACGAACAGAACATAGCAGGAAAAATTGGTTGATTGTCGTTGTTCCTGTTGAACAGAGAAATTCTTGACGATGCCGTTAGAGGAAAAAAGAAAATATTACAAGGGAATCGTAACCACGTTAGATGAAATTCCAACATGGGTGGAATACTGGAACAAAAATAAATCTAATATCGGTCTAATGAACCTCGAGAAAATCGAAAAAGTCGACGAAGATGTAACTAAGAAAATTTCGATATGGCAAGGTGATATCACGTCTCTTGAAATAGATGCGATCGTTAATGCTGCAAACTCGAGTCTGCTTGGCGGTGGTGGAGGTACATAGAAATGTTTATTGGAAACACTTGACACACAAGTATGCTAATATTAAAGGATACAAAATATTCTGCAGTTGATGGAGCTATTCACAAAGCTGCTGGACCAAATTTAAAGAAAGAATGTGCTACTTTGGGAGGATGTCATGTCGGAGAGGCTAAAATAACCGGGGGTTATATGTTGCCTGCAAAGTGTTAGTATACTAGATCAGGTTGAAAAAGCAAGCTTCTTTCACAGATGTAATGTTTTAGATGTCATTCATACGGTTGGCCCGCAAGGGGAGAGACCAGAAAAGTTGAGGGAATGTTACGAAAACAGTCTAGCAGTTGCCAGAGAGAATAAGTTACGCGTAATCGCTTTCCCTTGCATATCGACGGGAATTTATGGATATCCTCAAAGACCCGCAGCCAATATAGCTCTGTCGACGGTTAAGAAGTTCCTACTCGATAACAGAGACGCAGTAAGAATTCATCTTGGTGACGTATGATCGTCGAAAAAACGTGTCGCGATATTGATATCTATTTGAAATTGCAGATGGATAGAATAATCTTTTGCCTGTTTCTGAAAAGCGACAAAGACATATACGAGGAGTTGTTACAGAAATATTTTGCTATCGATTAAATTACCTGCCGGCAGATCATTATTTTAAAATTAAATTCAAGATAAGCAAAGTAAAACTGTACGAGTGTATAAGCCCAATAATATTCATAGAAAAATATCAGAAGACGTATCTTTCCTAGACATCTCCTCCACTCGAATCGTTCGAGAATCGTCGAAAAATAGTTAAATCGAATCGTTCAAAAGGGGTATGGTGAATAAAAACAATTCAAATGTTCGCGGGTAATCGTGTCGTTCCTCGTGACGTAGCGGATCGGTGATTGGTGCGATCGTAGCGCCACGACTTTACTGCTCGTCCGCATCGTGTTTCGGCCCGACGACGGCGCGTCGCCATCTTGAAAAATCGAAGTGTGGTAATGTCTGTATGTGGTAATAGGTGGGGGACGGTCGTTAATGTGGTGCGTCTCGTGCAGAAAATCTGTCACAAATGGGTAAATATCTCTTGTATTGAAAAGGCTCGATTAAAGGGCTGTTTGATTTTGTATTTATCGTATCGGACGAAACAGCATAACGTTGATAAACGAAGCACACCCATCGCCTCGTAGTGCTCTCGCCGATCTGTCGTGGCGAAGGTGCGCTCTCTCGAGCAAGATCGCGGCTAGTGAGTAGTGCGTGCGTTTAAAATACAGTGTCATATTTGTGAACCTTTTTACGATTTAAAGGCCGATCTCGATCGCGTCCCACGGTATCGTGAAAAGTAACGCGTTGTCGTCGCGTCGTCGAACGTCTAATGCAGAGTATGTGCGTATGCGCGTTCGCGGCATGAATATTCTTGGATACGTTGCTTCGTAAGGAACGTTCGAAAAGAAGGACCAAAAGTATTGGAGTGACGCCTTCGAAACAGGACATAGATTGTACCACGTCGGTGTTTCTCGTTCTCTCGCACGGTCGTTCGGACAAGGCGGACGTACGGACGGAGTCCCGTAATCCTGAATGGCCGCCGCCACCGCTTTCTAGGTTACTGACGGACACTCAAAGAGAGCGACAGAGAAAACAAGCGAGAGGGATAGAGAGAAAGCGAGAGAGACAGGGTGCGCGCGAGATATAGAAAGAAAGAGAGAGAGAGAGAGAGAGAGAAGGGCATAGAAAGAGAGCGAACGAAAGAGTGAAACAGAAGGGGTGTAGAGAGAAAGAGAAAGAAAGATACCGAGCAACCGCGAGCGCGCGCGCGCTCGCGATTCCACATACGACCGAATACTGATGTGCGGCCACCGAGGTACGCGTTCGCCACCGTATCCCGGGTGTTTTTCTCGCGTACGTCGCCGATCCCAGATCGGAGGCTCGCTGCATGCGGCAGACGAGGCTTGAGTCGCTGGTGCTGCTACTGCCGTTGGTGCTGCTGCCACCGCCACCACCGCCGCCGCCACCACCGCCACCACCGCCGCCACCGCCACCGCCGCTTCCACCGCTGTCCTCGTCGCGCACCTCGACATCGACGCCGAGGCTTTACCTTAGATAAACGCGTGCTGCTTTCGTATTCGTACGCGTGTATATGCATCTTGACGCGTACGTATCATAACGAACCAGTGATATATTCCCGAACGTGTTGCATCCTTTACCTACCAGTACAAGTGGGTGTGGGTTTTGTTCGTATGGCTGGCGTGTGTGTGCGCGCGTGTGCTCGCGTGTACATGCCGTATGTACCTGCGCTCGCGCGCACTGTGCCCATGTATGACTGCTCGCTTGCGTGCACGATCGTGTAAGCGTGGTAAGTATCCAAAAAATCAGACATAACGGGGAAGGGGTTACCAGCGAAGCTCGTCGCGAGGAGAGACGCTACGCTTTTTTCCTTTCTCTCCTTTCTGTCTCCCTCCGATTTGGCTACGAAAAGGCTTCCTTGCTCCTGTCCCCGGCTTCCCTTCTTATTTTCGTTCCCGTTCCCGTGCTCGTGTTCGTGCTCGTCGTTTCTAACCCCACATTTTCCTCGCTCCTCTGTCACGATCACGTTTCGAAATTGACCAAGGAAACGCGTACCTCCTTCACGCGCCCGGCCGTCTAATTACTTTTATTCCAATTCGATTTGCGTATCGAATTTTCCCAATTGCTCCCGACATGACACGTTCGCATACGTACTTTTTCGTCTTGTTCAAGCTATCGTTCGATACAAGACACAAGTGAAACGGCAACATTCACGGAGCGACGTACATATGTACGTACATACATAAGTTCGTGTATCGTGCTCGTGTCGTTTGACAGTTCGAAAGCGTTTTCGAGACCGCCCACTTCCTCGTGCACGCCGTGCGACACGATCGGCACAACTTCTTGCTCGATCGAAATGCTTCTTTTATTATCCGCCCGTGGCCCTCTTCTCCCTTTCCGAGGGTCACTCGCAGTCGTTCAAATTAATCACATTCGTTGCCGAATCGCCGTGGAAACGACTATCGCGACAACGATAGTCGATTAATCGATATCGAATATACATATATAAATAATCAAGCCAAGTTTTTTATCTCCAAACATTTTAAAAATTATTTTACATTTTTACGAATCGTGTCGTGGATGTTCTCATTCACGGTCGCCAAGGTACTCGCCGCTCGCATTAACAAACCGCTAGTATTGTTCTTAAAACGATGCGGCATTTCTCAAAATGCAAACACGGTCGTTGCGCGAAAAACGTTTCACCGATTCGAGAGCGTTCCTTTTTATCATTCTCACTGTTCACGTTGTCCTGCGACGAGTCCATATTGAAATCGACGATCAACAAACGCATCTTTCTTGATTCCGATGCTTTTACCTCGAACCCGAACGCTCGACACACGCGTCTACGAAATAATCCCTCTGAGCGAGAGTTCATCGTTACTCGTCAGCTACGATTTATTCTTGGATTACATTATGGAACCCCGGTTCTCGTGGCTTTATGTAATACTCTTGCCTCGTGGGCATCGCTTCAGAATCGGAGGCGAGGTAAAAACAAACGAAACAGGGAAACTCTACTGTAATTCGTACTCCGTTCCCATCCCGAAACTCCTGGCTTCTTTGCGTTTATGTTCTCCAGCCGCGAAACGATTATGGCTAGACGTTCCGTTTCGCGTGTAAGGAAAAGGATCGTGGTAAATAGCGGTCGTGGCGGTGTTTGTTGCGGTGCGGGCGGTTCTGGAGGCGCGGGCATATCTCGGAGCTCCGTGCGTACCGGTGACCCAGTTTGTAGGGACACGGACTAGGACCTAATTCCGCGCCACTCCGACTAGCCCACTTTCGTCTAACGCAACCTATTACTTTAGTACATCGAAGGGAGCAATTTTGCGTTTGCGATCTTACAGCTTAGGATACCGAACGTCCGCATCTGCCCGGCTGCCTTTCTCTCGCGACATTCGGGAGAAAAACTTTTCTTCGCTCCGTGAAGAGCGGAGGTCCGTCACTGAACCTCGAGCTACGTACATGCTCGCGCTTGTCGCTATTATTAGTCGACGATGTCTCACAGGTGTCGAGCGAATAAAAGTATATTCAAAACACCTGTTTCTTCAGCTAAGAAAACCGTAACCCGGTGGAAGGATTCGAATCGCGAAACGATTACCATTAGGATTACCGAGGGATCCGGTCGTGTCTCAAAATTGCTTTGCATAAGGCGCGTAAAAATGTTTGCGTAACGGAGCAGAATTTTTCCGTCTTTCGAATCGAGCCGGTTAAAAGTCGAACGGAGAATTCGTTTCAGGAATCAAATGACCGAGTTTCTCCGTGTTATATGTCTCCTTAATATTTTATATAGTCGAGCTGTCTGTGGCTTTTGTGTCGTAAGGCGGTCGACCAAAGGCGGAAGTGTGTCGATCCTCTCACTTTATGCCTCGCGCCTCGGCAAAAGGGGTGAAGCGAGCGTCGCGAATTTACTCTGTTTACGCGATTCGCGAATATCTTTCGGCTCGAACAGCATCTTCTTCCGAGTTTCCTTGAAAGTTTCAAGTTCGCAGACATCCGCTGGCGCTCGTAAATAATAAATCTTTCTCCTTCGAGTGAATCGTTTCGTACTTACTTACATTCGTTTAAGTCACAGTGTCGTCGCCGGCGAGTAAGAAAAATGGTTCGCGTGCCATGTATGTTTTATGCGGGCGAGAAAGTTGCGAAAGAGTAATGCTCGGTCTTTAAAGATCACGAACATAGTACGTGTATCGTTACCAGAGGAAATCACGAGATTTTCACCGCGATTCTCTCTCGGCGTGCAACAATTCGATTTTCGTTTCAAAACGATCTCCTCGGTGTTATTAATTTCCACGCCGAACGACTTTCGCCAACCTTATTCTGTTCGTGCAATTCGTGCAGAAATAACGTGCAAACACCGCGCGCAATTTACAGACACTTTTGTACGTACTGTTTTCTTTCGTTGTCCCTCTTTTCCTGTTGCATTGATTGGCCGTTTCCGCGGCTTCCTGTTCCATGCAACCGGATCGACTCCTTGGCAGAAATCAAACCGGGGGAATGTCGTCGAACCGCGACGTTTTATTTCGCGACACGATTCACCCTGCGAATTTTCTTCCATTCAAACTTCGATTTTCTATTTTCGCGAACGTATAAATAAAACGACGTTTATATTCGAAGCTTTTAATCCTTCTATTCCCCGCTTAAATATCTTACGGACTATAAGCTCGATGCTCCAATTAAGATTCCCGCTATATAGTTTAGCATTCAGTGATACCAGTATAGCAAGTATGATTACATCGATTGCACTCGTACAATCGTCAACCGCATTTCCGTGAAAACTTCAGAAACTTGCGTCTTGATTTAATCTCTCTAACACATTCTTAATATAGGGTGTATACTATTCTTTGAAATAGCGTGCATTTTGTATACTTTCAAATATGTGCCTTGTCTTGTGAATAATAAATGATAATAAAACGGGAGAATTCTCTCACGGAGCAGACGAGCGAGAGTCAAAGTTGGCCCGATGTTACATTCCGATGTACGACCGGCAGCAAGGTATGATTCACTCTCTCGCCTACCTGTGTATAGGTCCGTTTCGATGGCTGACCTAATGCAACAGGGTCCGTGTCCTCGTTTGTATCGTCTCGTAAAATATTGAGCTCTCGTCGAACCTCGAAACCGACTTCGATCCCGACGATCGACCATCTTCGGCGTTATCAGCGGATTCTAAACGTCGCGTTTCTTTTT